TATAATCATAATTTTGATAATGTGGGATAATTTGGGATAATACTAGATAATATTTTAGATTTTGAATATAATCAACAAAAAAGGCTTATTTTTGAAATGATCCACACACACATATTAAGGAACAAAAAAATAGAGTTAACTGTATGAAAGACACTGAGTCATTGGATGATTCCTATCTTAATGTTCTCAACGATTTGTCCAATAGACGAATTGACAAAGTTTGAATGATTTTGTGAACTCTCTGTTACGTTCATTTATATATGTATACTATCCAAGGGTAACTATTGAAATTATTCGCTTGTGTAAGATGTCAAGAGACCAAAAATTTGAAATAAAATTGTAAATCTTTTCTTATTTCTCTACATTTTACTTATAATTATTCTTACCACTGATAATTTACTATTTAGACTTGTTAACTACTTCATCTTGACATACCATTCTCACTAAACAATGAGAAATCAATTTTATTTTATTGCTTGACGACAAAAATATTGAGAATTGAAGATATTTAACTAGATCTCACAAAGTTGATGCAATATTTTTCGTTCCGTTTTTTATTTCTTAGCACATTAATCTTGACTATATGTAATTAAATTAATCATATATTATATATGATTTAGATGTTATAAAGATTTTGAAAAAGACTCAGTGAAGTCGAAACGTTAATCACTTGTATTTGTAAGAAAAAATATATAGCTTTAAGCACGTTGTCATCCTTATATTATTGTTCATAATTATTGTCGTGTTCTAATATTTTATTCATTACTAAGCAAGATAACTATTTTTAACTTGTTAAACATATTCTTAGTTAAAAAAGAAAAATATAGAGTTGACGATCCGAAAAATATCCGAGAAATAGAAGTATAATAAATCCGAGATAAAATGTCCGATTAAAACGGATATCTAGATCTTTCAGTTTCAAATCTCGGATTGCATTTCAAATCAGAATTTCGGATTTCAGATTCGAATCTCGGATTTTGGATCCAAATCCGGATTTAGAATCACTTGATTCTTTCTCTATATCTATATCTCATCACAGCCCACGTCCACTATAATCAGCTGCTAGCAGTATGCATATCGAGAACTCGCGCGCACGCGCGCGCGCGCGAGAGAGAGAGAGAGAGAGTGAGAGTGTGGCAGGGAGAGGAGAGGATTAAAAAAACATTTAAAAAAAAAGGAAAGATAACGCATACAATTTTTTGTTTACATATACATTCACATATACGTTCACATATAAGTAAAAAATTTGGTTCAAAATCATTTTGGATCAAAATCAGAAGGATTTATTCAAGATAATGGATTCAAAGCATTGGATCCGGATATTCAGATCTCCATAGAATATTTTATCCAAATTCATTTGAATACTCCGGATAACATTATCTAAATATCCAGATGTCTACAAATCCGGATGAAATCGTCAATCCTAATTAGAAAAGATTATAGATGAAAAAAAGAGAGAAAGGAGTAAGAGAGAAAGAAAGAAAGGAGGGAAGGAGAGAAAGAGGTAGGGGAAAGTGATTATTGAGGAGCAACAAAGCCGATCTCGAAGAGGTAGAAGCAGAAGCGAGAGAGCGGACGAAATAGTAAGAAAAGGAGGGATCGAGTGAGTCAGTGATGGCGTGTACTGTGCAGCAGCCCAGGCCGACAGCCGAGCCCAGCTGTTCCTCGATCCCCTAACTTACACCAGTTTATTTTAGCCATTTCAACCAACACTTACTCTCGTGTAACGATTCTGTGCGTTCTCAGAAGCCAACGCGACGCAACCTTGTTGATAGCGAGGAACTTCTTCGTGTTTATTTCCTCTTCGTCTTACGCACCAATGATGAATCGCTCCGAAAAGAAAGAAATTATTTTATTCGCAATCCAGTCAAGGCTGAAGTCGTTCGTTACAACGGTCAGTTTCCGATGTCTAATTGTTTCACGTATCTGTGAATCGGAGCGAGACGCGAAACGCGGCCGGTCGATCATAAGTCGACGTGTGTATGCGTCAAGTTCAATTGTCAAAATACCGACGATGTTTCTCAATCGAAGCTGCCGATTTCCTTTATATATGTTTCTCCTTTTTTTTTCTCCTCTGGGTTATGGAATCTTCCATCGAAGCCATTGTTTTCCTTTAATTACGCTCTATCATGCGTTACGGTACTCATGCACTCGCACGTCTTCAGTCATCGATACCTATGCGTCCTTTGATACTATATGGCTTGTGATGTATTGTGTATCTTCGACTTATCGTTATTTAGAAAAGTGTTTAGATTCGTATTTTTAACTGTGCATTCAATGTAAATATAACAAATTGAAATTAATTTATCTCCGGCCAAAGTTTGGAAATATTTGTGATTTTTTTGCATTTCACGAAAATTAAATATTTCGGTGAAAAAAAATCATAGAGAAATTTTTGATGACGTATTTTAAAGCCCAAAGATAGGACTTTAAAATTTTTTTCTATAACTTTTTGTTCCCAAATAATTTTCCTAAACAAAATTGATATTTTTTGTAATATTTTTGTCTTTGAAGTATTGTAGTTTGATAAAATATCATCGGACAAAATTTAATGTAAAAGTATTTTAAAGTAGACTTTTTGTGCTTGAAAATGTTTTTCGATGAAAATTAATACGATGGTTTTTCGAAAAATCATTGAATTTTTTATTGTATAAAATTTCATTGTGTAAAAATTTTCTTCAAAAGTGAGTCTTTATCGATTGGAGAAAGTTTTTACAAAATTGTACAAATTAAACGCATTATAACATACATTTTTCCTCCTTTATCTTTTTTCCAAAAGCTTTTTAGTTTCGCAATTATAAAACATTTGAGAAAAAAATAGTAAGTTTTTACACAATAAAATATTACAAAATAAAAACTTGGATATCTTCGCGAAAAGTCATCGTACTAAATTTTTTCAAAAAATATTTTAAAGCTTAGAAAGCCTACTTAAAAATACTTTTATATTAAATTTTGTTCGACGATGTTTTATCAAATTGTAATGCTTCAAAGTAAAACAAAAATATTACAAAAAATACCAATTTTTAATTTTATAAAATTTAGAAACAAAATATTACAGACAAAAAATTCAAACGCTAATTTAAAACCCCGTATAACTCCTTTAAAATGCGCAATAGAAACTTTTTCTATGATTTTTTACTGGGATATTTAACTTTTCGTGAAAATGAGAAAAAATTGCAAGTGTTTCTCTTTTAGGCAGGGGAGTACATAGAATTATTTGCTTAGAGTTAAGTTTGAATATTCACTTAACAATTATTTATTTAAATCTAAACTGTAATTTTGCATGAAAAATAGGAGTAAAATTTATTAATATATATTTTTTTCTGACGATTTCTCTATATTCCAGTTTCTTCTAACAATGAATCGACAAGGATTAACATTTATATCTCACGGGCAAAAAAACAAAAAATCTATTGAATGTGCATTTTCGGTTAAGAAGATTCCTTCCATCACCAAGAACAGTGATTAAATGTACTCGTATAAGAGAAATGTTTCAATAACTAAATGTATCCAGTAATTGAAGAATCAAAATTATTTATTAAAATATTTGTTAATAATAGCAAAGAATGGCTAACTAAAAAGAAGCTAAATATTTTGTATTAAGATAAAAATATAATAAAATCGTAATTTTGATTACAAATTATTGTGAAAAAAATGATTTATTTCAAATTTCGCAGAAACAGTTATATTTTCACTCATTTTCTTATCTTAAGTAAGACATAATGCCTATATTTTGAAATTGTTTTTAAATATTGTATATTGTGGCTACCTAAATATGTAGCGTTTTATTTATGATTATATGAAGTTGAAAATTAAAAAAAATTATTTTATTAAAAATTCAGTTACTGATACACAATTGATATGATATAATTATACAATAACATATCGATGAAATTTTATTTAGAGAAAGGTTAGTATTAGACAGCGGATGATATAGATTAATTAGATACATGTGGCAGCTTTTATAATATTAGTGGCAAGTTCTACATCTATACATAAGAACCGCGACTTCTACATATCAACATTAAACAAACAAATTGTTTATAAGTTGTTGTGCATTTTGTTGTGATTTACGCCTGCATGAAGTTAACTTCGCTATGTCACAACATTAAACGTAAGTTAAATTTCGTTTTTAACAATGTAAACAGTATCTATTATTCTTTAAGTTATTGAATAAAAAAATCTTTATTATTTTGTAACCGCTTGTTTTATATATTGTTTTTTCATTGCGTGTCATTCGGATGATATCGGACAACGAAATAACGAGATTTTTCTATATACTATAGCCTTAAGGGGATCCTAAGGTCCTCTATATTACCGACTAAACCGTATAATTTTTGTATAACAATTACTTTCTTTTTTTACTGATTCGAAAATCCTTTTCCAGAATGAAAGTATACGCATTAATACCCCAAACAACACAAAATCTAAAATTATGACATAAGATGTCTTTAAGTCGTCTTTTAGACGCAAAAAACATTTTATGATCTGATTTTAGATACTTTTTGTTGTTTGGGATGTTTCTGTAAGACGGTTTATGCCTGTGAGATGATTTATGCCTAAAACGTCAAAAAATTTCAAAACTAAGGTATTCTTTATCATTTCTTAACCCAATATGGCGTTCTAAAGCTGTCATATCGTGACAATATTTGCTCCGCATAAAAACTATGCAATCTGTACTTACGAAATGGTAGACTAATAATTTGCACGAAGAAACAACGTGGAGTTCTTAGAATTGGACGTCTAATTAAAACATTATTGTTTGAAAATTTATGTGTATGTATGGCATGCGTAGTGACATGTTAATGTAATATGATGTGACAATGATACGTAAAACGTTTGTGTAAATGCTATTTACAATATGACTAATCGTTTTTAGGATCCCCTTAAAGTCAACGAAACTTGGCTTCGGACACAGTTTTGTTTAGGGTGACCAGATCTAATTCAGTAAACTAGGACATTCATTTAAAGTAGCGCAAAAGTAGGACACTAAAACTCAAAAGTAGGACAAAAAAGAGAACATTTTAAGTTAAATAATAGTACAAAGTAAGTTGTACATTTCTCAAGAGTAAAAAAAAAGAATATATTTAAAAATCCTAAAAACGTAAAAACATGTATGTAGGATTAGCAAAAAATGGTTTTATAATGCTTTTTAGGCTTTTAGGGTTGTTATCTTTAAAGATACCAGAAAGTTTGCGGGTTATCGCCATATTATTAGTAATGTCAACGTTTTGTGAACCTTGCCGTTCACTTCATCAGAGCGAGGAGCGCACTGATACTGAGCTGCTTCTCGGGGAAACTCCCTTTATGTAAATGCTGTAGAAGAGGAAGGGGGGGCGAGGCTATATTAGAGAAGGGAAGGTCTTCCTTGATTTATCAAGAGAACAGTCTTCCATATCTTTATATGTAACCATTATAACCTGAGTCTCTGTTCAAATTGTCTGGATGTTTCTGGGGCCTTTCTGTACTTCCTCGGGAAATATGACATCATTGTAAGCCGTTTTGTCGATAATTATGTTACAATAAATTATAATATAATAAAATACCTAATAATTTCCAATTTTTTTATCACAGATACATAGGGGAGATCGGGGCACTATGAGTTACAAAAATTCAAACTTTTAAAAGTACATCTAAATATAAAAATTTGTGTATCATTTTTTTTTAATAATTAAAGCATAATGCATATTTTAAATTTAATAAGTATATTTAGTAAATATTTATTAGTTTTTAAGAAAAAAATAAAAATATATTTTTTAAGAAAAATGATTCATGGTGCCCCATATCTCGAGGTACCATAAGTCACACACAAAATAATAGGATTATGCAAGAAATAACGATGACGAAAGTTGAAAAGTATTTTCTATTACCTTACACATTCTTAGCATAGCCACTAATACAACAAAATATAATTACAACTAATAATTATTAAATAATACAATAGAAAATTATAAGAAAACAAATAAGAAATAACTATTAATATAAGATAAAAAAATTTATTACAATAAAATAAAATTATTTGCTTAGAAGTATAAACTGCGCCCTTTTAGTACATATACTTTCTGTCCCGTTTTATCATGAATATTTAATGTATGACTATGCTATCTCAATTACACATTTAATAGAAAACGATAAAAAATAAACGTTAAATTATTACTTGTAATGTAATAAGATGAGAAAAGATGCGTAAAAACTTGTACCTTATCTTCATATATGTATCTTCTACTACAAAAACAATATTAAAACATTTTTATGCGGTTAAAAAGTTACTATTGCTCCATGAAAACCATTAATAATTAATCGATGCTTTTCGATATAATGGAATTTAATTACTGCTACCTAGATAAAAAGTATGAGTAACGAAGTAACAATCGTATTGCATCAGTATTAATTTAAACATTTTAGATTATGTTAAACAGTTGATGACCCATGGTATCCTGTGACCCATAGTATCCCGATTTCCCCTACTAATGATCTAGTGATTATTTTATTATGTGCGATGAGCTTAATAATTTCTGGTTCCCTCGCTTTCTCAAAATGAGTACTAAAAAGAGTACTCCTCGGACATGCTGAAGACCCGATAGGATGTTCCCAGACGTTTTAAAAAAAAGTACATGTTTGGAAGAAAAACTGGACGTCTGGTCACCCTAGTTTTATTCCAAATGAATATGGGAAAGATACGAGACAAATGAAAAGAGGAGAATTCGCAATGCATGTAAATAAACATTATTTTTAAAAATATATTTTTGTCCGTGAAATATTACTCTCCAATTTTCATAACATGAAAAATATAATGACATTTTAAAATTAAAAAACTTTTATTACTTTTATTTTTTTAAATACGGTTACGAGGGTGTTTTGATAGAAGAATAAAGTTTTATATTATATATATTATTTGATTTTTTCCGTCCAAAAAAATGAAATTTCGAATAAAATTTAAATGGCCGATATCACCCTAATGATTTTTTTAAATTTATATGATAGCGTTGTTGATCACAGATAAAAGAAGATTTTATATGAATAGTAATACCTTTTGTAATACCGTTAATAATATATTAATAATCAATAATAATATAGAACTGATCATATCTTTATTAATTCAAAATCATTGGAACACATTTACCTTTGTATTGCCACGTTATTCCTCAGGCAATTTCGGATTTAATCAATCTTTTGACGGTTATTTGTGTATCGAAGAGAAAATTGTTCGTTAAAGAAACGTGAAGAGCGAGTACATAAGGTATCAGTGCAGGTGTTTTAATCGCGTTATGATGCTACGAATTTACAAAACGCATGGCGTAAAACATTGTGCGTGTGAACCGCGCGAACGAACAGTTGCATACTACTATAAATGATAACGGCAAGACGTTGATACATCTCAGACAGCACGGAATATTTATGATAAATATTTATTATTATTCACTTTTTGAAATGTTATATAAATATTTTATACATATTTGATATAAAGCTTTATTCGAAATATTATTAAAAGACAGACTAAATATTTAATGTAATATTTATGAATATTAATGTAATGTGTATGTAATATATGTATTTATTTAATGTAATATTTATGTATTAATGTAATAATATAAATATAAATAAATATTTCTGTTAAGTATTTTTTATTTGAATTATAATGTCTTATTAAGTATTTCCCTAGCATTTATTACAAGGTTTGCAATAAATATTTCACAATATTTATAATAAATTTTTATGATCTATGGAATCTAAAACTACAAAAATATGTACAAAATATTTAAAATAAGCCTTATAAATATTTATAAATATTTTGTAAATATTTTATAAATATTGTGTAGTGTCTGGGATATGAGGATATAACAGGGATGATGGATTGAATGAAAAAACAGTAGTAATAAGAGTCTTTTGCATTACGTATATGTACCTTCATTTTGAAACACAATGGTGAATCTTACGAGAAGAGTGCATGAGAAACGCAACATGTTCATTTCTGCAGAAGTCTTACAATTTCTGCGCGTAGTATCTTTGTCCCGGAAAAAAAAAACTGAAATAAATATTTTCGTTCTCGAATACGCTCCAAGTTTCAGCTGAATATGCATTACTCATATTGAAATCGAATGTTACCCACGGAACACAGATCAGTTTCTATTCATATTTCTTATTAACAAATAACGAATTATAAAAAATAGTATTAAAATGATTCAAAATAATATTTATTATGTGTCTACGCGAGTGTCACATACACAGACATTCTATGTAGAAATTAGAGGTGGAGATTCTACTGTTCAAACTACGTTTTTAACACAACATGAAAACGATTAATTCAGAGCTCGGAAAAATTAGCATATTTCGACCGATTTTCAGTTTGGTTCTTATCTCATCATCCCAAGATATCAGATAGAGTATAGATTTCG